AGGCCTCAGAGTGCAGTGAATTGCTCTTGTAATGGCTAATCCCGTGTTCCCCCATTGCCTTACTAAGGACTAGTGGCAAGAATGGCGCCATCGGCAGTTCGGAGTTTCGCTTTCACTTGTCGTCTTCAGAAGCAGGCCGTTACGGCCAGCATGTGCAACGCGTCGCATATCGAGATGTGGTGGCAGGACCAGGGCATCAATTGCATCTTTGTATTGCCGATCGGCGCCCATGTGTTCTAATTATATAAGACTCGATGTCAGGGCAAGACCAACTTAGGGCTGTTAGGGCTTGGCTTTCCGAGGAATGTTCAATGCTGCAAGTCGTCGAGCAGGTCCAGCAGTCGTTTTGCTGTTCGAGAGATCGTGAAATGTTGGCAGTAGAGAAGTCGTTCTAGGGTTTACTGCGGCATGCGATTTGGTGAAGCTACATGGTTTCAATCGCAATGGTGTGTTAAAACCAAGAAAAACATTGCGGGGCCACTTCGTTGGCGGGGTTAGTGTGCAGGTGTGTTTGGTTTTCAGAAAGCCACATTGGCGCAGCCGCCAAGTTGGCGTACCATGGTGACAGGGCACGGACATTTTTCGGGCTCAGCCGAGTAGCCGAGAACAAGAATGATGGCAGGGGCAACTCAATCAAGTTGGGGTCTGGCTCCCACGGTCCGTGCTGCAGAAGCAGCTAGTTTCTACCGCAGACTCAGACGGGCTGTTGCGGCCAGCGTGCGCAATGCCGAACGAGATGTGGTGGCAGGGCCGGGGCATCAATTGCATAATGGTGTGGCCGATCGGCGCCCATGTGTTCTAATTTAGACGGTGTGCTTTCTCGAGGAACATGCGTTGAATGCCACAAGCAATGGAGCAAGGCCAGCAGATGTTTTGCTTTTCAAGATCGAGACATGTTGACAGTAGCCAAGTCGCTCTAGGGTTTAGCTTCCACATGCTGCTTAGTGGAGCTTGGCGGACGAGCTGCCCGGCGACTGGTGGTCGCTGGCAGATAACGAGCCCGGCGGCTATCAGTACCGCACAGTGGTGCAGGTGCTGGGCAAGCGCGTCGAGTGCATGCTGGACGGCTGCGCCGGGAGCTCGGGATCGGAACGGAGGATCCCCGATTCCCCGTGGTGCGGCTCGAGAAATGGGTGCACCCTGAGTTTGTCCACGGCAACGCGTCCGGCGCGCCGGTGGCCGCCGGTGCCCTTGACGCGTCACCCTCTTGGAGGGCAAGACCGCGGAAGGGTCCCGAGATCTTCGCGGCACGAGCGACTGGCACGGGCTTATCCTTGGTGGCAGGGCCCTATAGACCGCGCCAGTAGGCCAGGCCCCGAGCACCATATCCTGGATACGCTGAGTATCAGGATTCCGCGGTGTGAGGACTTCACGCGGGTTCGCAAGGACCGCACGTACGCCTTGGAGGCGCGCCTCTCCTCGCTGGACGGAACCGGGTGCTTCGAGCCAGGGGGCGCCGACCGGGAGCTTCTGCGCTATGCTGGCGCGGAGCCTCTGGAGCTCGCACCTGGCGACAGGAGGGTTCTGGTTCCCGTCAAGCGAGAGGTTCAGTCCTCCGCGGACGGTTCCTTGACGGAGGCCGTTTTTCCGTTACTCCGAACTGTATCTGCCGTATCCTCGCTCGCGGAGATTCAGTCTCGCTCGCGAGTTGGTGCTTGTACCGGACCGGACCTCCAGGCGGAGGCCGTCGAGCAGCAGTCCTTCGGCGTTTTTTTGTTCGAGCACGCAAGGCCGATGCCTACCTCGAGGGCGAGCTGGGGTCGTTAGGCTCGGCCGCCCGTAAGGTCCAAGAAGGCTAAGCAGACTGGCAAAACTGCAAACCCCGACCTGGACGTCGTGATGTCATCGGGCGAGGATGTTTCGATGGGGAGTCCCGCCGAAGCCGTGGCGGCGGCCTCCGCCGCGCCGGGGAGGCCTTCGCGGGAAGGCGAAGGTTAAGAAGCCCAAGTCTGTGGACCGCGCCGGAAGAGCGGCGTGCCACATGGGACGCGGAGACCCTCGCCAACTTCGAGGCCTCCATCACGGACGAGGCGCTCGAGGATGACGACCTCGTCAAGGAGGCCCACGCTGCACGTATGGACCAAATAGCGCAGCTCAAAGAGGGTAAGCAGGAGGCTGCTAAGGCCGCTCTTGAAGCTTCTCTCCGAGTCTCCGGTTGGCTCTGCCCAACGTGCGACGAATGGAACCTGAGCTTTCGGGACGTGTGCTACAAGTGTTGCACAAAGCGCTCCGCGGCGGGCGTGGTCTCGCGGGGGTGCCGGACCCGAGGCGGCATTCAGGCGCGCCCGAGGAGTCAGACTCAGATGACTCCGCGGCCTTGTCAGAGGTGCGGGAGCATCACGAGGACCTCGACTCCATCAAGCCGCTGCTTCGGAAGTCCTCGAAGCGAGGAGGCAAGAAGCCAGCTCCTCCTGCCTCTGCGCACGTGAAGGGCAAGTTCGGAGGCAAGAAAGGAGGAGCAAGGGTGGCAGGATGCGGCCTGTCAGGCGCACGGTCTTCGAGCCCTGCGGCCTTCGGGCCTATGCCTGGGCAGTCACCCGCCGGGTCCTTAACCGCCTCGCCCACATCGCCACCGGGAACATCAGCCCGTGGACGGGCTTGGCGGCGGCGGTTGCCGCGCCGGTCCTGCTTAGCGTGCAAGTTGGAGTGGTCGAGGAGACCTTCGCCGCAGTCGCCCAGCAGTCTGTAGGGCTGGTCGAGGGCCTTGGAGCCGAGGCCCAGCGGACCGTCCAGGTCGCGGGCACCGCGGCAAGCATCATGGTGCTGATGCTTAGCGCTGCAGCGACGTGGTTTGTCGCGCGCAATCTTGAATAAGATTGCGCACCTCGTTACTGGCAACGGCATGCCTTGCCAGCTTCTCGAGTTGAAGGACGGGGAGGCTACGTTCGAAGTCGTGAGCAGGCGAGGTGCCACGCACCGAGTCTGGCCCAGACTGACGTCCCTGCAAGCCGCCTGCGGCTGCAGGGCCTTCCTTCACGAAGGGGTGGCACTGTGATGCCGCCACCCGCTGCGCGACCCAGCTGGGGTTGACCAACCCAGCTGGCACCACCAGTGCAGGCAATGCCTTGCCTGTTGCGGAGGTTTCCTCGCGGGCGATCGCCAGAGGTAAGGCAGCTGTGGCCCGCACTCAAGAGTGCTTCTCAGGCCGCCAAGAGTCGCGAGCTTAGCTGCCTTAGCGGGTTGTTGGGCAAGCTAGGGCGGCTCTGTCTCTGGAGCGCCCCAGCACCAGACCTCCGCCTCCCTCGCTGTGGGAGCAGCCCCAGCGGCTGCGCCAGCAGCGCCGGAGGGCAGGCGTAACAAGACGCCGACGGAAAAGGCAGTCTCGCACGGAGTCGGCGAGAATTACGTCTCGGCCGGCCTGTCGCTTATTGCGAAGGCCAAGGCCCCGGACAAGCTCTATCTCAGAGCGTATTCTTTTGATGCGCCTAGCATCCAGGATGCGCTCGAAGGAGCATGCAGTCGCGAAACCATGTGTTGCGTAATCGCAGACACGAGCCAGTGCAGCAAGACCAAGCTGCAGTGGCAAGCACTGAAGCGCATGTCAACTGCTGGAGTTACCGTCCGTCTCGCGGCGGGTAACTCCGTGCGAGACGCGTACTTGGCGGACGGCAGAGGCCCAGCCGTTGGGTCAGGGCTGAAAGGCCTCCACCACGCCAAGGCCGTCTTGCTGGCGGGTGAAACATGGTGAAACCGCAGCGGAGATGATTGTGGGCAGCTTGAATTGGTCTATACAAGCCCGAAGGCCAATTCCGAGTGCGGAGTCCACCTTGGACTCGCACCGAGCGCCCCAATCGCGGCAGACTTTCTGCGCGAGTTCCAGAAGGTCTTTGAAGCCGCTGAGAGGCTCGAGGACGCAAAGCCTCCTGGCTCCAAGCCGGCGGCTGCGTCCAGCAGCGCCGGCCAGCAGCAACAGCCGTCCGCACCGCCCAGTGCGACGGTGTGAGTGGCCTGCGGCAGGAGTCTGCGCGGCACAGTAGCGCAGATCCTGCGGGCATTGAGTTGCCGCGGCTTGTGTATGCCCGGCACCGTTTTATGAAGTGCCAGAGCCGGTGCCAGCGGCAGGTCTCCTGCGCGGCTTGCGCAGAGACCCTTTTTAGCACCAGGCTCGGCAATTGAATTTGCGGGCAGGTTCCCTTCGATCCTTGCAGTGACGTTGCGAAGGGACCTGCGGCAGTTCTTCTGCGCGGTCTGGGTCATGCCGACCAACCGCGCCGCATAAGCGCGTTCGCGTGCCAGCCGGCACTTGTGCGTTGCTCAGTTGAGCAACCCCCTGAGCTGCTGGCGTGCGGACCCTGATCGGTCGCCGCCGTGCGTTAGTACGCACGGACCGCGGCCCTTGATCGGGCGCGGCTCAGGTAGTGTAGGGTAGGTTGTACAGTTCCTACTTGTACATAGCTGAGCCGCCTGTAGCTGTAGATTAGTTTCTAGGCTGGCGAAAGGACCACGTCAGGAGCCTCGTCCCCAGCTGCCAAAAAAACGAAGACTGAGCGTGCACGTAGTGCCAGGTCTTGGAGGTCAGGTCGTTGGAGGAGGTTTTCGAGTTGTGGGTTGCAAGTTTGTTGTCCGTCGCCTGTGGTTCGTGCGGGCTCCGCCCAGCCGCAGTACGACGCGCACACCCACACACGCGTGCGCGACAGCGCAGCGAATCAATGGCCACAGGAGCCTCGGCTGAGGGGCGAATGTGAGTGCAAAGAGTCGCCGCTGCACACGTGGTCCAGCCAGCATTTACTTTTGTTTGCATGTGTTGTTTAATCAACAATGTTTGCCAAAACGAAACGTTTTGGCTCAAGCCCTTGAGTTTGAGTTAGGTAACTTGTCAGAGCCAATTGTGCTCGGCAGAAGACAGTAGATGTGTTGCTCTTTGAGTAGCCACCTGCGGTCGCTAAGCCGACGCGGTGTGCTGACGAGGGACCGGTTGAGCCCAAGAAGCAAAACAGACTGCCCGCCACGTTTGCATTCGCAAGACTGGTTAGGGCGCTTCACAACTCATATACAAACAAATTAATATATCAATATATGAATGTTTTCGTATAGTACTTTTATTTGTGTGCTTATATACTAGTATATAATAAATATGTTAATATATTGGTATGTTCCCGTATGAATATATACGTATTTTGTTTAGTACTTGCATATACGACGATATCAGTATATTAACCTATTAAATTGAAAGTATGTCAATGTGTTGGTCTAGCCGCATATTGATAAACAAGTATACTGGTATATTACAGTACTAGTATATTAGCATATTAGCAAATTAGTATATTCATACATTAATATAGTAGTATATTAGCATATTCGTGTGAGGGTATGGGAAAAATACTAATATACTAGTGCATGAG